AAAGATGATCTGCTCGTAGTTCATTTTGGGCTTTGCTTCCTTCTCGAATTTTCCCCCTTGTCCTCTTTTAGTGTCTGCTTTTCTGCTTTATTTTTTCCTTCCTCTTCTCCCCTTCATCATTTCTTCTTTTCCATCCTCCTAGTGATTCTGTCTGCCCCCGTCCCCCACCGCTGCCATTTTCTTCTCTCTCAGGCAGACTGAGGGAACTGAGGCAGTCCTTTCTTGAGCATGTGTGTGCGTGCATGGTGGGTGAGGGCCCAGCACCAAGGGCCACGCTCCGGCCTGAGCCCCTCTGATGTCTTCAGCTGCAGGAGGATCAGGAGGAGTTCACCCGCAGGGCAGCTGTCAGTGCTCAGAGGATGGATGAGTGAAAGTGGAGGGGGTGGGGGAGGCGAAGGTGCTGGGGAGGGAGCCATTTTTAAAAAGGAAAGGAGCTCTTTACTAAGAAGCTCCACCCCAGGCACCTCTGCAGGGACCCAGCCCTCCTATCTACCTCCCTCCAATTTTGAGGCCTGTCTCTGTCCTTCAAGCTGCCCCCAGCACAGAGGCTGATTTGTTTCTCTCTTTAGGCAGGCCAGAGAGCAAAAGATCCTCTCAACTTCCCAGACCCCAGCCCCAGCCTTCTCTGTCTCCCGCTGAGGGGCAGCTGGGATGGGGACCCCAGGCAACCTGCTAACAGAGTGATGTCTGGGCAGATTAGCGCCCCAAAGCTGGCAGGCCTATTAGAAGCCTTTGTGGGGGAGGGGGCCGGGGGAGGAGAAGGGGATTTTCCATTCTCTGAGCAGCTGGATTACACAGTCAGGGGATCAGGGAGGAACTTTCCCTTGAAGCTGCCTCTTTACAGCCCAGCTCTGCCCTGGCTCTCAGCTGCTCACACTCTCCGCCAGGATCTTACCAAACCTTGACTTGCCTGCTTTTGAGGTATCTTTTTGTGGTCTGAGTCAAGTTTGGGGATAAATCCTAGTCTCATCTCCCCCTTCCCACCCCTCCAGCTGTTACACCAATGTGGAACTCAAAGGCAATCCGTTTGCCATCACCTCCTCCAACCCTCAGCTCCCACAAAAGCCCCAGGGATGGAGATGGATCCGGAAGGGATGGCTCAGGAGGTGAAGTGACTGGTTTATATTACATAGCAGCTGAAAGACACCCGGGATATTTCCTGACTAAGGGTGGATCTAGGAGAGCATGTTCTCTGCAGAATTCGCCAGGTCTACGCCAGGGACTCAGGAGAGCTCGACTCAGCTATCTTCCCGAACAAAGCCTTGCTCCTGAGTTTTCCTTAACCCAACATACAGGGAAGAGAACCCTACTCCAATTTGGTCCCTCAGGCTCCAGCAACCCAACCATAGTGGACAATGGGAAGGAGGGAGAATGAGATGAGATTAGAACCCAAAGTCTTTTAAGTCTAATCCCAGCCTTACCACTAACTTTCTGGGTGACCTTGGGCAAACCCTGAGCTTCATCTTTTCTGCAAGGTGATAATAAAAACATCTCTTTCCCAATTGTTTCAAAGGTTGGAACAAGGTAATGGAAGAGCAGCAAACATAGGATTCAGTATACATTAGCTGCTCAATAAATAAGGAAGCAGAATCCTTTGCTCAGGAGAACGCTCATTCCCTCGAACAAGAGGCTCTGTACGCAGCCAGGCAATTGGATCTCCCCACCAGGAGGGCAAATCCATCATGTTCAGCAACTACTGGCCTCCCCGACCTGGTGTAAGGTTATTGGGGGGTCATGCCCCCACACTCTGCATCTACTTTCTAGAAAGAATCCCCCCACAGGAGACCCAAGCTCCCCACCCTAGCCCTACATGACCCCTAGAGGCCTTCTGCTGACAGAGTAGTCATTTCTGACCTTTCTGATGCCCTGTGTTCCTTCTGTTCAGAGATTTTCTATGATCCTATGACCCCTAAAAGCCCTGTCCTGCTAATAGTTTTATGATCTTCCCTCTCTTTGCCCTTCTTACCCTCAACCCCCTTTCAGTAGGTTCTAGTCAAAATAAACAACATTTATAACCAGAGCAAGATTCAAGGTCCACACTGCAAACAAATTCGGAGCCCTTTGAAGGTGCCTGGGGAATCCATCACGTCCTGGGGTGTGATACTCCCCAGGCCCAGGGGAGGTGAGCCCTGGAAGGGGGCTCAAGCCTTGGAGGCTGGGCTCTGGATCTGGATTTAGAATCCAAGGAGCCTGTATGCTATCGCTGGGGCTCCCTCCTCAATACTCAGCACTGCAGAGGAGAAGGAAGGGCTGGGGAGAGGGACCAAGCATGGTTGGAAATGCTCACGTGCCTAGTGACTTCTCCCACCCTGGGTGCAGGCCCCCTTGGAGGCCAATGCCACACCTGATAGGTCATCAGGGAAGAAGGAGGTAAAACGATAAAGGGAGGAGAAAAAATTAAAAGGAAAACTGAGAAACCCACAATAAATGGAAATGGACAAGAGGGCTAAAGCTCAAACCTATTGGAGTTCCAGGGCCAGTTGTTAATCTAGTGCTCACCTGGATGCAGAAGCAACAGCTACTATGATAGAGCAATGTTCCTAAAGAAAGCTGGTCAAAATGCCTTAGCAGGCTGACTAAAGGGAGAAAGAATCTGTTTCTTTTAGAGGACCTGAAAGTCAATTTGAATCAGTGCTAACACTAAATGGAAAGTGGGGGGCCCTCGCATTGGGGCAAACACCTCCCACCCCACTCCCGAGAAAGGCGAGCCCCTCCACCCACTTAACTATCCTCAAATGGAGAAGAGGCCCTGTGGGAACAGCTAGGGTTGTCTCAGGTGGCTCCTCTGGCAGGTGTGGCCAGAGAGCGGGTTTGTTATCCAGGGGGATGGGCTCTGCCTGGAAACTGGTTGGAGAATATTAATGTGGGATTCCCTAAGGCCCAGGTCTGAGAGCAGCTTTCTAGGACATGAGGCTTAATGCTTCCTTCAGCCTCCACTACAGCCTCCGAACTGGGCCATGGGCTTGGGAGCTGGTGTTCTCTGACTCAGGGCTGGGAGAGGGAGAGAATTTTTCTCCTGGGGCCTGTGCCTTCTCATTTACCCAGCTAAAAAATGGTGTGCTATCCAACAGGTTGGGTGAGGAGCCAGACAGGAAATATGTGCAGTAGCTATTACATTTATCAGGTACCCACTTATAGCATTTGCATATGTGGCATGTAATTAATGTTGAATGAATAAGTCAGAGAGATAGCAGATTGGAAAGAAAACAAAGAAAGAGAGTTGGGAGTGCAGAATGTAAGGATTTTTTTTTCCAGGATAATTTACTCAAAATGTTTCTGTTCCTAAATTGAAAAAATAACTTTAATTACTTTTTTTCAATACTGGGGATTGAATCCAGGAAGCAATGAGTTACATCCCTAGTCGTTTTTATTCTGAGACAGGGTCTTGCTAAGTTGCCCACGGTGGCCTCAAACTTGTGACCCTCCTGCCTCAACCTCCTGAGTAGCTGGGATTATAGGAATGAGTCACCATGCTGGGCTTCTCAGTGCTTTTTCTGATCTTCTAATGAATTTAGAACTTTCAATGGAATGTTCAGGGGTCCAGGATGGGGCTTATATATAAAAAGACAGAGTTTTAGAGGTGGAAGAGACTTGGAGATGAGTCCAGTCCAGTGGGCCCTGATTTTGGTTAAACATAAACATCACCTGAAAGCTTTTTAAAAAATAAGATGCTGGGGTTGGGGATTTAGCTCAGTGGTTCCGCCGCCTACCTTGTAAGTGCAAGGTCCTGAGTTGGATCCCTGGTACCTAAATAAATATGTAAATAATTAAGATGCTGGAGACTCACATCCAGAGATGGTGATCTAATTGATCTGGGGTCCAGGTATGTGTTTTTTGGGGTTTTTTTTTTTTTTTTTTGGTACCAGGGATCGAACTCAGGACCTTGTGCTCACAAGGCAGGTGCCAGAACCAGAGCTAAATCCCCAGCCCCAGGTATGTGTTTTTTAAAAGCTCCCCAGGTGTTTCTACTGTGCCAGGGAGAACCACCTGTGTAGGCCAATATTCCACTTTACAGATGTGGAAGCTGAGGCTCAGAAAGCACAGGTCCTGGGCTCAGAGACAGAACTAGTAGCAGGATGAGGCAGAGGAGCTGATAAGGTATCCTGATCTCTATAGATCTCTGTGACATGTTTGTGAGATGAGCAAATAAAAACCTGAGACCTCTTTTGGAGGCATCTCTATCTGCAGAGACCAGCTACCCGACTCCCTCTCCCACCTCTGCACTTTCATATTCTCCCATCAAGGGCCAGGCAGGCCAGCATTGCTCCTCCGTTTCCCATCCTCAAGGTCTCCGGGCTTACATGAGGCAAACACACAGAAGTTGTCTGCCAGGTCTGGTGCCTCCAGGAGTAACAGGCAGCTCCTGCTCCTTGGCCAGATGGAGCTGAGATGTGGACGCCAATGTGCAAATGCACAGAGACACCCACAGATGTATAGGCACCTGTGCGGAGGATTCTGCATGGGGGCACACAGCCTTCTTTCTAGGCATATCAGAATGTGGCAGTGAGATACGTACACATGTACACATAAAGACCGATGTGTGGAATGACATGCATGTTGATAGCAGCAGTGTAGGAATATGTAGGAGAAAGAATGTGTAAATGTACAAGAGCCTCCACAAAAGGCCTCATCCATGTGTTTGTACGTATGCCTGGACTTGTGTACAAATTCACAGAGATGAATCTGTACTTATAAGCCCATGTTTACATCTCCCAGGGAAAGCACGTGTACGAAGATATGTACGTGGCTGGCTGCCCAAGTGTCTATGTGCTTGGCTGTGTGCATAGCGCATATAGGTTTATGTGAAGAAAAAATGTTTCTACTGTTTCTATCATACTTCTCCTAAGTAATTATTGGGAAATGTATGTGTTGGAAAACAGTATCTTTCATGCTTAAATATGTCTCAGCATATATAAATGAAACATATTGTGCCAACCGAGATGCTGCACATTAACATTGTTTATCATTGATGAAATTAAACAACCCATGCAAAGCCCTGGTAGCATTTCTTACCATTTTATTTAACACTGTTTTGACCAAGCAGCATTTGCTAAATGCACATATGCACTGCAGATTACAACAAATTCATAATTTGTAGGATATAATATATAAGACACAAGCAGTGTAACAGAAGAATGTCATCTAAAAAATTCCAACTGTCCCTATTTTTCTTTGGGCTTACCTTATTCCCCTTCCTCCCCCAAATCTGATTAAAACCCATCCCTTCACACTTCCCTAGGCGGTCTCTGCATTTGTAGTAAAAAGAGATAAACTAGAGGGTGAGGATTTGGGGTAGGGGAAGAGATAAGACCAAGACCTGGTCTCTGGAATGTGTCTACTCCTCCCAGTCTGCCAGAGGCAGACCCAAGCCCCAGCATGTGTTAAAACAGGGTGACCAAAGGAAGCATTTCTATAGGTTCTGCAGACCCTCAGGTTGACTGACAAAGTTATTCATTCAGAAGGAGGAAAGGGAGAATTGCACTTATCAATTTAGAGGTAAATCCTTCCTGAAGAGATTCACAGAAATAGCTCCCTGCTTCTCTTATTTAAGGGGAAGGTATATCCCTCCAGGAGCCCGAATGAGAAAAGCCTGCACACAGGCACAGGCCTGACAGCTCATCTTCCAGAAGATGAGCTGGGTGCCAGCTAGTGGACTAGAATGCCGGGTCCATGACAAGCAGCCTGAGGGAAAGGGAAACTAGTGCTGGGAAAGCTGGGAAAGCCAAACTGGGACATGTGCAAGAAGACGGTGGAAATTACGCATGAACGTAATGCAAGCTGGAAAGTGCTGCCTTACCAGACACCAGGCAGCAAAAAGAAATTGAATTTAGTCCACAGAGATGATGAATAAATGGCACTGGTAGGTCTTTCCAAACTTGCCAAAGACTTCATCTCCTGAGTCAGGGCCAAGATCCCACATGGAACCTCAATGCTCTGCTCTCTAGCATCTGTTGTTACCATCCCCTAGCTTCCTTTTGGCAAGACTGAGATGAGGGACTCCTCCCTCTGCCCGTGCTCCTGAGCTGGCATTTCCCTAACTACCTTTTCCCCTACAGAGAAAGACTAAGACTATGAGGGATAGGAGGCCAAGTCTGATTTGAACAGCGACTGGACTCACCCAAACCCTGTTCCCAAGCCCTCTGCTCCCCAAATCCTCTTCCACCATCAATGAAGCGGTCATCAGGATTATCTTTTCGGACAGCTGAATGCCAGTGTGTCTTCTTCTTTCCACTGAAATCAGACAGGCTCTCCAGAGCTTGGTGCTGTGGCTGTTTCCTAAGGGAATAGACGGGGAGAAAAAAGAAAGTTTTCTAATGTTTGGATTCAAAGTGAGAACAGTGGAAGCACCCAGCAGTGTGTGTGCACTCCCCAACACACACGCACACACCACACACACACACACACACACACACACACACACACACCCTGTCCATACAGACAAGATCATGAATCATCTAAGCCGAGGAACATTTTATCGTTCAGTACTATTCTCAGAGGCCCAAGGTTTTCAGCCAAATCCCAGGTCTGTGCACAAGGACACTGCATAAATCCCTCCCCTTATGAAAGGCCAGTCTGAGCAGATGGGACCACACTTAAGTAAACTGTGGAGCCCTCCCTTCACCCAGTTCAGAAGGAGCAGCAGGGGGCCGGCCCTACCAGCTAAGAACAGGAAGCAAAGCCAGAGCTGCAGAAGCTGTTAATTCCCAGGCTCTCGTGCTCACCTTTCCAACTTATCTCTCTGAGGGGAGGTGTCCCTTTGACCACACAATCCTCCTCAGTAGTCTCCCCGAGGGGAAGTCAGATCTTGCAGTTGGACTGGAGAAGCCTGCCGCAGAATTAAGTGGTGGCCAGAGGTGAGAAATCAAATAGGCTCACGTACCAGAGAACTGGCACCCGGAGGTGAGGCAAGGGCTCCAACCCAGTTTATCTGCAGGCCAAGTCTGGGGTAGTAACCTCACAGCAACGCCACTTCCCGATAACCTGTCTCATTAATATTTATTGAAAGAAAAATGTTTTAAAACAAGAAAGGACCATAGTGGAGGTGGAGGGCATCACTTGGGCTCCCTTCACCCTGTCCATCTGCCCCCTCTTGCAGCCAAGGCTAAGGTCTACACTATATCAACTCCTACCCCAGTCTTTGCTCCTCTCCCCAGGCATGTCAGGAAGACACAAGGCAGGTGGACAGAGAGACAGACGGACTCAGGAACCTCAGGCACTCACTGAGAAATACAGAGACTGTGAAATTACACCTGGGCTGGACAACTTAACACCACACTGGAACCCTTGGGGTAGTGAAATAATTAACTTGCTAATCAGCTACACCTTGCTCTTTCCTTTCTTCTCAGAAAAAAAACAATTGCAAATCGCCTTCCCATCAGGTTCTTATGTCAGTCACTTGGAGACAAACAGATGCTTTTGAAGAAATATACCCTCTGCTGCCACGTAAACTGAAATAGGTCAGATGGAGTCCAGGGCTCTTCCTTCTCCTCACCCTTCCCACCACACCTCCAGGAGCACAGAGACAGAATGTTTCTGGAGATGCATGGTTTTTTCCATCCACAGCACAGAGCTTTTCCATCTTGGCTAAGCTTTCTCGCTTTCGGCCCTCTTTAGCCTGCTTGCTGGCACTAAACAGCGAAGATCCATGTGGAGAAAAGAGGATTGATTAGAATCGTAATAATAATCCCTGGCATCCATCCGGCTTTAGCGTTTACAAAGTGTTTTCACACATTATCTTATTCAGTCAGAGGAGGTCAGAGTCAGGAGGGGCCTCGGGAACCATCGAGCCCATTCTCCTTGGGTTACAGATGGGGAAACTGAGGCCCAAAAAGGTTAAATATCTCCCCTAAAGTTCAGGAACAGTGTAGCCAGGTCCTCCTGGTTATTGTCTAGGGATCCTTATGTTGCCTGAGATTTTCTAAAATGAGGGAAAGATGATAATTTTTTTGCTCCACAAGTAGACATCAAAAAATTAAAGAGTAGGCCGGGGATTTAGCTCAGTGGTTTCGCCGCCTGCTGTGCAAGCGCAAGGACCCGAGTTCCATCCCCGGTACCAAAAAAAAAAAAAAAAAAAA